CTATCTCCTTATTATCATCATTATCAAAGCCGCTAGAAAAACACATTCACAAAATAACACTCCAACATGTAGATAATAAAAAACTAATAATTGATAACCAATCAGGATTTGGACTTAAGTATTCGTGTCATACAGCCTTAACAAACATGATAGAAAACTGGCATCAGAATATTAACGAAGATAAAATTGCTGGGTGCGTGTTTATAGACTTTAGAAAAGCCTTTGACATGATAGACCATACTATCCTTATTAGAAAACTAGAAATAATGAACTTTAATTGTAATCTATTCACGTTATTAAAATCCTTTCTGTTAAATAGGAAACAGGTAGTTTCATATAATAAATCCCTGTCGCAGACTACTGTGGTGAATACTGGAGTACCCCAGGGCTCTATTCTTGGCCCTCTGTTATTTGCCATTTATATAAACGTCCTTCCTTTGTGTCTGTCGTCGCCGTGTGACTTATTTGCAGACGATTGTACAGTCTATACAAGTGCTCAAACGTGTGATATTTTAGAGTCATCTTTACAACAGGAATTAAACAATGTGGTTTCCTGGAGCAATGCAAACCGCATGAAAATAAACATTAGTAAAACAAAATGCATGTTAATATCAACAAGACAAAAACTATATTCTTTATCTGCACATAATACGCTTCAGCTCTACATCAGTAACAACCCAGTAGAATGTGTAACTGAGCACAAAGCTTTAGGCGTAATTATTGATAGAAATTTAACCTTCACTTCTCATGTGCAAGCTCTAGTGAAACAAACAGCTAAAAAAGTATACCAGCTTGCAAAAATTACACACTTTCTGGATGAAAACACCAGAAGGATATTTTACACCTCCCATATTCAGACCCATCTTGACTACTGCTCCACAGTATGGGATGGCTGTCCAAGTTCAGTCATGAAACGGCTTAAAGCACTTCGAAAAAGAGCTGTACGCTTAGTCAGTAATAATCATGGAAGAGACATTTCCAGTATACATAAAGATCTTAAGTTACTCTCCTTCCATAAACGACTACTTTTCAATAAGGCCAAAGTCATTCACAAAATCTTATCCAAAAATGCTCCCGATTACCTTTTGCCATTCTTTAAGTATAATGGGCGACATAGCAAACGCCTAAACATGTTACACATCCCTAAACCTAGAATAGACTTGTACAAAACAAGCTTGGCGTACTCTGCAACTCATCTGTGGAACAATCTTCCACAACCAATCAAAAATATCAACAACCCCTATAAATACAATTGGAAGCTTTTTGAATATTATATCACTTCAGACTATAGCCCCCTTAGAAGATAATTGTTTCATGAGAATATTGTTGATTTCCACTAAGATTTATTATAATTAGTATTATACTTGTTTTAAAATGTGGGCATACTTAGAGTACATTGTTACAAAGATGTTGTTAATGATGCTTATGAATACTATTATTATTATTATTATTATTATTATTATTATTATCTGCTAAAACAATGTGTGCATGAATAATGTATGCATGGCGTGAGGCCAGAAGGGCAGAATGTAAGACGGGCCTGTGTGCCCAATTCTCAACCATTTGAAAATAAAGTTTGTTCTATCTATCTATCTATCTATCTATCTATCTATCTATCTATCTATCTATCTATCTATCTATCTATCTATCTATCTATCTATCTATCTATCTATCTATCTATCTATCTATCTATCTATCTATCTATCTATCTATCTATCTATCTATCTATCTATCTATCTATCTATCTATATGTCTGTCTGTCTGTCTGTCTGTCTGTCTGTCTGTCTGTCTGTCTGTCTGTCTGTCTGTCTGTCTGTCTGTCTGTCTGTCTGTCTGTCTGTCTGTCTGTCTGTCTGTCTGTCTGTCTGTCTGTCTGTCTGTCTGTCTGTCTGTCTGTCTGTCTGTCTGTCTGTCTGTCTGTCTGTCTGTCTGTCTGTCCTGTTTGTATGTGTTTGTATTTAGGAATGTATGCAAGTACGCATGTATGTGTGTAAAGATGTGAGTGTATGTATAGAGGTGTGTATGAATGTATGCATGTATGCATGTATGTATGTATGTATGTATGTATGTATGTATGTATGTATGTATGTATGTATGTATGTATGTATGTATGTATGTATGTATGTATGTATGTATGTATGTATGTATGTATGTATGTATGTATGTATGTATGTATGTATGTATGTATGTATGTATGTATGTATGTATGTATGTATGTATGTATGTATGTATGTATGTATGTATGTATGTATGTATGTATGTATGTATGTATGTATGTATGTATGTATGTATGTATGTATGTATGTATGTATGTATGTATGTATGTATGTATGTATGTATGTATGTATGTATGTATGTATGTATGTATGTATGTATGTATGTATGTATGTATGTATGTATGTATGTATGTATGTATGTATGTATGTATGTATGTATGTATGTTTGTATGTATGTATGTATGTATGTATGTATGTATGTATGTATGTATGTATGTATGTATGTATGTATGTATGTATGTATGTATGTATGTATGTATGTATGTATGTATGTATGTATGTATGTATGTATGTATGTATGTATGTATGTATGTATGTATGTATGTATGTATGTATGTATGTATGTATGTATGTATGTATGTATGTATGTATGTATGTATGTATGTATGTATGTATGTATGTATGTATGTATGTATGTATGTATGTATGTATGTATGTATGTATGTATGTATGTATGTATGTATGTATGTGTGTGTGTGTGTGTGTGTATGTATGTATGTATGTATGTATGTATGTATGTATGTATGTATGTATGTATGTATGTATGTATGTATGTATGTATGTATGTATGTTATGTATGTATG